ATTTGCAATTTACAAAGTGCTTTCCAGTCAGTTCTTCACACATGTTCCTCACTGCAGTCCTCACCCTTATGGTGCAGTTTGTGTCTCTTTTATTTACCAAAGTCATTTTGGATGTTTTATTAGTCAGATAAGTCTGGGTAAAGAGAATGTCTGCCTTACAAATCACACTGGTGTAGGCAAGCCTGGTTTCTGTGCCAGTGCCTGTACTGGTTTCTGGCTGCTGTTTTTCCATTTAGGACACTGGGCGTAAAATCACTAGAGATTGACTTTGTCTCCTGCAGGTACAGAAAGCTTACACCACAAGTATTACAAGGTAACCACAAGTATTCCTCTGTCCTCACCCCACCTCAGCCACCAAAAAGCGTGAGAATGAGAGACATTTTCTTGACATCTAGTTGGATTTCAAGATGAATTTTCTGAGAGAGATGTAGAAAATGGTTGTTAGGTATAGTTGAAAATAGTGAAGTTAGTAGTAAATAAGCTGAGAACCTAACCACCCACATTTTCTATGGGGATCTGAGTTATGAGCAACTGAAAATAAACGAACACTAGCCGCACCCCATTTGTACATCAGAGCCCGGCTTTGGTGAGAGGAATGAATGAGATAAAGTGAGAAAGCAAAGTTCCACACATCGCTCACCCCAGAGCGCTGTTAAATGATGGGGTAGGTTTCTCATATTCAATGCCTACGCCTTTAACCATTGATTCGAAGTGCTTCAAAAAAAGAACCAGTACACACTCGGCACGATCGAGTAGTAATTTATTGTGATTGTCTTTGTTCAGCTTTGAAAACTAAGGCATTGATATTAAGACTAAAGAGAAATTACATAGAGCTGGTGTGATTGAAAAAAGTTTGGCTCTTTTGAGTGATTTTTGTTTTGTTTTGTTTTTAATGCCATAGAGTTAAGCTTTAAAAGCACGCTTCATTGAATCCTATCCAAGCCCCCTAGGACAGGCCTGGGGGACCTTTTTTCTATTGAGGGCCACTGACCCACGAAGAAAAAAACTAATCAAGGTCCGTGTACAAAAGGCAACTTAATTTAGGTGCTTCCTTAGAAAACCATAAAGCATTCAATTCACCTGCTTTTAAAATTAAGAACAAGGAACTCTCAACAAGTACAACAAATTAAAAAAAAAAAAAAAGCCCTTCAGTTTCATATTATACACAGTTAATGGGCTGGGGTGGGAGTAAGAAAGAACAGTGTAGGTGCAGTAAAAAGAGAGTAGAAAGCAGACGAGAGTTTTAGGGGACGTGAAGAGATACACGGAAAAGAAACTATATCAAGGGTCACGGAAGCAGGAGATTGAGTTAGGGAAATGGCAGACAAATGATGTTGTAGATCATAACTTACTGCTTACTGAGCTAGTCGATTATCTGGTTAACTGCTATTCCAAACTCATGTGCAGCTCGAATCCTGAAGCCTTTCCAGCAACAATTCTTAACAAAGGGTGTTTATCAAAATCACCTAGGGCTCTTTTTTAAAAGTGTCCAGTGCTACCCCCACAGTGGCTGTCTACCTGTCCCATATCGATTCAGTTTTCCCTGTGTTCAGCTCACTTAGCCTAAAAGAAACATCTTTCTTAAATGAGAAGTATGTAGAATCACCAGGTTTCAAAAGGACATCTCCAGAAGGAAAAGGCAGTTCTTATTTAGACATAGCATTTTAGAAGCAGTCTCAAACACACAGAACGCCTTTCAAATAATATGTATGCCATGGCTTTCAGAATAAACTACTTTGGGTGCTTAAAGTAGAGCTATTCCCGTTTTTAAAAAATTGAGTAAGTTGCACGAGTTCTCAGAGATTCTCGCCAGAATGTGGAGCTGTAATTCCATTTTCAAATGCACCCAGGCTCTCTGTCCCCCTTTCCTCCTTGTACTTCTCATCAGCACTAACTGGTTATGGCACTGAATCCCCAGTAGCCTAAGTATGTCTTGGGGTTTAATTCACAAGTGTGTCTTGGACTGCTTGTGTCTCAGGGCTTTTGGCAAGAATGTCAAATTACATCTTCAAGTAATGCTTTTCAGAAATGCAGACAGAATAAGTGGTGCGTTCAAGGCTATAACCAAAAGTAGCATGTTGGAGTGGAAACTGTGCACTAAAGGGAAGACGACTTTCCCAGTAGAAACATTAGCCAAGTTGTCATCATTTACACAAGGCCATCTTTTCACCACTAGACAAAATCTTCCTGGACAGATCTTATTTCTAAGATGAAAGTACATGATTTTTTTTTTTATTAGGTATTGACAAAATAAAGATGTACTCCAGTGTTCAAGTGTGAGCAGGTCTCCATAAGGTCCCACCGAGGGCCCCTGGTGGGTGGGAGATGAGTGGAGTGCCTGGCCATGCTGGGCCTTTTATGTGTGCCAGTGTGAACGATGCTGTCTGCTTTCAGCAGGTTACCAGTAAAACTTTTATTGCTGCTACCCATTTTTGAAGGGTGTATCTTTACTTAGTGTCAAATTCCTGTGGGTAAGTTTAAACCTCTCAATGTCTAGCACCTTCTTCAATGGAGACCATTATTCTTTCCTGGTGTCTCTTAGTATTTTCTTGCTTCAGGGTGTGTGGGGGCACACACATGTGTATTAGGGGTGGGGAAAAGGGGTGCTTTTCCTTGAACTTAGAAGCCTATTTTGATAGGATCCAGTAAGTGATCCTTTATTATTTGGGTGAACTTTGTTAAGATTAGGTGAACACAGATGATTTTCCAAACTTACGAATTGTTTTGCCATAGAAATTTAATGTATACCACAACAGAATCTTTGCAGGGGCTTGAAAAACAGCCTAACCTGTGATTAATTTTAGCCTGTGACAATCTTTGAAGAGTTTCTGCTCCCTTATTGTGAAGTAATTCACTTAAATAGCCCTATGTGTGTTAAATTCTCATTCTGAGCATTCCAATTAATTTTCTATGAAAAGTGATATGTATTATTTAATACAGTCGTATCCCTGTACAATTTGGGTTCCTTCATATTGTTTTTTGTGTCAAGATTGTAGTGGAGGAAACCCTTGACCCTGAAATCAGGAGACAACGCAGTCTCTCTCTGTTAATTATGTGTCCCAAAGGCCTGCTGTGAACTTGTTAGGCTAGTGAAGAGGGAGTTTTGTTTTTGGTTGTAACAAAGGTGTTTCCATAAAACTGAGCCTTAGCAACCCTTCTTCTTTCACTAATGAGATCTAAGATATTCTGCAACTTTACAGCTCTAAACTCTATTATGCAAGCTTTCTTTTTTCCTTTTTTAAATCTGTTAGTAGAATTATCTGTTGACCAAGGTTTTCAGAAATGTCAAAAGAAACTTTTAGCAGTTTCTGGGTGAGGAGGTTATTTGAAGATTTTGTTCCAACCCCCGCTCCCTTACGTAGTCCTTTAATGCTGCATACCCCTTTTTTTCTGGCAGTAACACTCTTCTTACTTTTTAATTGCCAGGAAGGAAGAATAGAATGATTGGGAACATATATGATTATATAATTATTTGCATATGTGCAGTTGACAACTTAGTGAAATAAACTGCCAACTCAATTTTATCTGAAAAACCTCCCATCCCAAAGCTACTTTGGTATCTGTGTTATGTGAAGGCCTATTTCCTGGAAGTACACACAGCCAAGAAGCAGCAATGGCCAGCCTGTGGCCCATTTCTTTCCCATGATTAGTGTTAGAAAGTTTTGCTTTTCATTCTCCAGCCCTTTGTTTATTGGACACACTTACCATTGACAGGTTCACATGTCTTCAATATACTCCTTCCTGACTTCCTGAGATCTTGATTCTTTTCAGACCTCTTCTGTCTTACACGAAATATGGACAGCAATAGCAGATGGAACCATGAAAGTGAATCCTTGTAAACCTCTGAACAAAATTACAGCACACCAATTAATATTGGAGTGACTAAAGTGATAGTACCCTGTAGGGTTTATTTTTTGAGTGGCACCGCATCTCTTGATCATTATGAAGGGAGAGGCATTGTCACTTCAAAGCACAATTTTTGTTTTGCGATGGAGGAGGAACGAGGGGGAAATTCTGGGGCTTATAGAAAGAACCCCTCCAAATCCTCACCTCCAAAGTGCAAGCAGAATGCAGTTGGTATGAGGGAGGGAGAGAGATGCTTCCTGGGTTGGGCTGCTGTGGAGTGATGTGTCTTTGACACTGCCCTTGACTCTTAGGGCTCCATAAAGATTCCATTTATTGGAAGCTGCTAGTCTATACTGGGATGAATGGCTACCCCACATAGAATCATAAGGTGGATACGGTCCCTGACATCTGCACAGAAGATGCTGGACAGAAAATCTTAAAAACTGAGGATCGTTTATCATCACCCCTTTGTGATTTATCAGAGACTCAGACTATCCAACATGACCTCCCTCTTTGCTCACAACCCCTTGAAATGCATGAATCCCTCTGCTTCCTCACAGTAGGACTACAGCTCATGTATTTACTCAGTCTTTCGTTATTGTCACATATTTTATAAATTGTTCTTGATCAAAGATGATCTCTCTTGGAGTGTAAACTCCCAAATTTAGAAAAACTGTCTCATTTGCGTGCCTTGTATAGTATTTAGCATAGAATCTCAGGGAATTTATAAGAGAGACGTGAGTTGATACTGAATGCTACCCCATTTGTATTTTGGCAGCTGGCTGATACAGGGATCCAAACCAGTGACCTTGGTGTTAAAAAGGCTGTGCTGTAACCAGCTGAGCTAACCAGCCAGGTTTCCATCCTGTTTATTGACCATATGAGTTTTTCTATGATTTAGCATCTCCCTGAAAAGTTTTTTTTTTGCCTTTTGGAGAGGGGGCTTTAAATGGTTGTATTTTTTTCAAGAAGGGGATAAATATTTTTAGGCTTCATGAAACTTTTTAGATATACATGACACCTGGGCCTTTGCAGAAACATCACAGACTGAAGTGAACCAGACTGTGTGTACCTAAATCAAACCCTTCCCCCTTGGACTTGATGGATGATAGACTTGATGATAGAGACTGACTTTCCTACTTTTTAACTTACAGGTGATCATTTGAAGATCTGTCCCCAGGGTTATACCTGCTGCTCTCAAGAGATGGAGGAAAAGTACAGCCTGCAAAGTAAAGATGATTTCAAAAGTGTGGTCAGCGAACAGTGCAATCATCTGCAAGCTGTCTTTGCTTCCCGTTACAAGAAGTTTGATGGTATGTTATGCAAGTCACATTTAAGAACTGACAATTGCTTCTTCAGAGCTGTTCTGTTCCCTCAGTGCTTAAGTTTTCTCCCAAGATATTCGCCTTGTTGGATCCTAGGGGCAAGTTAGCCCCACAGCTTTTTTGCTAGAGTCCTTCTGGATGCACTGGAATCTGTATGGTAGGCATTATGGAAATATGGTCACAAGAGCCAAAGAGGAGATGAGTTTAATTTACATGCTTTCATTTATTTTCTGGGGGTGAACACAGAATAGTGTTGTTGACGCAAGTCACTTAAAAAAACCCAAAGACTTCCTAATAAAAAGCAGGCATCTGAAAACGGTCTTAGTCAAAATAACCATAAAGATGCTGCAGATGCCAGACTTCAAATTAAACTTCAAAATGGATCCGCAAAGACAACTAGAATTCCTAGAAGCTCTGCATGCAGAACACAGATAGGAGCAAAGCTCATCTCTTGAGTGTCTGTGCAGCAGCGACCCAGAAGTGGCTACTACAGTACTTTTCATGAAGCAGGGCTCCTTTGCCAGCCTTATTTGAGCTGGGGTTCTGGTGAAGTCTTTCTGTGTGAAGCCATGACAGAACCTATTCTAGTCCCCTGTGCCAGACATGGCTTCTCACATGCACACTTTCTTTTAATAGTAAAGAAAATAACCAGTATGAGCCAAATGAGAGGTACTTCAATACTATCTGAAGCAGTGTTACAGAGAGCAGACTTTAAAAAAATCGAATATGGGGTCCAAAACACCTCAGGATTCTTTTCTCTGGTGCCATTCACTCAGTTTGAAGGTTGTTATGAAGTAGATTTAATTTTAATAGGAATGATTTCCTTTGTGCCTGTTTTAAAGGCCATTCTAATTACATAGTACCTTTGAAGCATGCTTTTCTTGACATTATGTGTGGTGAAGAAGTACCAGGCAAATTTTCTAGATGTGAAATGTCTTTGAGTATTTCTGCAAAGGGCTTGTTACCATGGTGAGAAGATAGACTAAATTAGATTTGATATGGCTGATAAAGCAGTCCCCAGCTAAAGAACAGGTTGTATTTCAAATGCTGGCTTTGAGATTTGTTGTTTGAAACTTATAACCGATTTAATAAGAATTAGGGTCCGAGGCTAGATCACAAAAGCATATTTAATCTATGATATAGTTGAACTAAAATACTGTCTATGTAGTTTACCATTGATTGCACTCACTTTTTTCCTAAACACTTTGTGTACAAAATTGTGTTTAGTCTTAATCCTATCTCCCTTCCCTGGATGGATGAGAATAATTTATATATCTCCTAGGAATAATCTATATATCCTCCCTTATTATCCCATAGTCTCCTACACATATGCTGTTAATGTTAAGAGTATTTATCAGTATGTCAGTACCATGTGAAAATGGGTGTTATTGGCAAAAATACATCATTAGGCCACTTCCATCTCTCTTGATCACTAAAAAATAATAATTATTACTGAAGAGAATGGTATTCTCTTGACTATGGCGTTTCTCATTCAAGGTAATAATGTAAGCATTTTCTTTTACTTCAAGGAGAAAACTTAGATAATCAGTGGTCATCTTTGAAAACTTGAGATGCTGGGCTGGCCCGGTGGCGCACTGGAGAGTGCGCCGCTTGGGAGCGCAGTGGCGCTCCCGCCGAGGGTTCGGATCCCATGTGGAGACCGGTTCCCGCTCACTGGCTGAGCACAGTGCGGGCGCAACACTGAGGGTTGCGATCCCGTTGCCGGTCCCCGGTACGGGCGCGACACCGAGGGTTGTGATCCCGTTACTGGTCAGTAAAAAAGACAAAAAGGAAAAAAAAAAAGAAAACTTGAGATGCTGATATTTAAAAATTACCACTTGGGGGCTTCATAATAGAATTTAGAAGGAAAAAAATCCTGCTCTTTAGAAATGACTCTCCTATTGACAGCATGATGCAATAGAGATAAAATCATTTCCAAGTTCCAAGGCCACCTCCTTCAAGTCACCCCATTTCTTCATAGACATTTCTCTTCTTGGAATGTGACCCACAGTCATTGCGTTGGTTTAGCTGTTCTCTCCCCTCCTGGCTACCCATGGCTTTATAGCACTACTCCTATGATTCCAGTGTGTAGTTTTTTTAAAAAAGCCACACAGAGAAACTTTATTGACAAGTGTTAGCATATGTTTTTTTAAAAAAAGGACAGAAGAAGTTTCTCTTGCCCTTCCCTACCAGGTTTCACATTCAGTAAGTGCCTGTGTTAACACTGTGTTTTTAATCCATTTCAAAACTTAACAGGAAAGATGACTATGAAACTCCAGTTTGTTTCTCTGACTTTAAATTAAAATATGGCATAGACAATAAAATTAGTGAGCATACGTTAACATTTTTTGAAAGGGTAGTAGCTGAAATATGTGTGGTCTGGAGAGCAGAACAGAGCTGGAATACTTTGCACGTTTTTTCCAAGTTAGGTTTTCTGAAATGATGAAATAATTTGATACGGTAAAACCTCAGTTGACCAGTGCCCAGCAAATCATAATCCTCCAGTGGGTGCTGCATTGATTGATTATTGATTTTAAGGCTGGCAATTACAACCTGCCAATACTTCTCAAGTCCTAAAGATTCAGGGATGTTGAGTAAAGTGCCATAGAGGGTGTCTTGACTCTCAGAAATCCAAAGGTGGGTGCTTTGGTCAAAGAATTGTCCAAACTATTATAAAAGCCAAACCCTGCATCTTTGGTATGAATGGAAGAAGGGAAGTTTGGCAGCATAACAAGATAGCGGCTATGGAACCAAGATAAGGCAGCAAGGTTGCACAAGACAGCTGGGGACATGTAGTGAGGAAATAGCAAAACGACACATAGAAACATACTGGGTCAAGCAACTTCAAAGGAGCATCTTTTGCCACCTCCAAGCTGACAGTGTAGATTCAAAGTGGTGACCCTGAGCCCAGACAACTTCCTCTATCAAGACTTGTGTGTGTCTATGAGATACCACTTTTTTTGTATGGCAGGGACAATTACTTTTGAAAATAAACTTTTCAATAAAAAATAAGGGTTGGGGGCTTGTAGGAAGTTAGCCTTCTGTTACCCAGAATCATTCCATTATCCCGGTTCTCCATCATTCTGCCTTGATTGACCACTGGTCAGGATTCTAGTGCCAGCTTTGGCATTTTTGAAGTCATCAGATTTGAGGGATGAATGCCTTCTTTAATTTTCTTATCTGTAAGCTCTTCCTTTTTTTGTTCTATACTTTTAACTTTATATTGTTTGCCTATCTCAAGAGACTTACAGTCTATAAATCAATTAAGTTATAAACCGTGTGCGTGTGTGTGCGTGTGCTTTCAGACCTAGGTGAAGTCCAGGGGAACACTTCCTTTGGCAGCATTCCTTCACCTCCCAACAAAATTCTCAGGTTTGCCATATTTTTAATGTGAACCTCTGAGCTTGAGGACTTGTCTCTGTATTATTCTATAATCTTTTTTATCTACTATTTAATTTAGGATGTTCAATACCAGAAATCTACAATCCTAATCCTAGGCTGGAGACACAGAGCCAGAGCATGGTAGTGACAGAGCTAGCTGCTCCCCCTCTTGGCCAGTTCTGGGAATTGTTTTTGGTAGTAGCACTGCTAATTAACATAGCTGAATCAGTTGTCTCATGAATATGCTAATCACATGTTCAGTTCAGGGGGGTTGGAAAGAATTGCTTGCCAAAGGGAATAGAAGTAGTAGAAGTGGGGCATAATCTGTGTTTTCGGACCACAGCAAAAAGACCCATCCCGAAATGTGAGGCATTTGGTGAGAGATTAGTTTTTAAAAGAAGCATAGCTAAATCAAAAACCTAAATAGATTAAAGTGATCAGAGCTGCTGTGTTAAATATATTTCTGAATTACATAGTAAAAATGATGTAACATCTATGAAGAAAAATTATTGCTAAACAACTCCCTGAATCAAACTGTTTGCTAGATATTTTGCATGTTAAAAGAAATCTTAAGGAAATAGAGATGTTGTCTGATGCCAGTCTACTGGGAAAACTCCTTTAATTTGTCATTTTAGGAGCAAATTTAGCAACTTCGGATGGGAGGCAGAACACACTGAATTGTCAGCCTGGTTCTGCAGTGAACCTGTTGTGACCTGGGGCAATTAACTGGGTCTCAGTTTTCCCATCCATAAAATGAGGGGGTTGAGCTAGCCGCTCTCTAAAAACCCTTTGAATTCTAAAAATTCTGTGAATCTTAAACACGTGACTAGACCAGCTGCTTTAGTAAAAGGTCTTACAAGATGTTAATTAGCCGTCTGTATGGTGCCCTCTGTTTTCCCCCTATCATTTCTTAACTCTCAGCTACTTTCACCAGGTCTTTGAAAACCCTCCCATGAGCCTGAAGCTTGTTAACTTGAATAATAGTAGAAATTTTCTGAATTAGCTTAAAACTCACATAAAAGAAATAATTGTCTGTCTCATCTATCTGCATGGGCCAAGTGGAAACCAGAGTGGCTGCCGCTCCCTTAAGCCCTCAAGCCTTCTTGTTTTCATTTCACAGAGGCAGGGCATGAAGCTCTCCTCAGAGTTAGCCAAATCTGTGTTTTAATCACTGAAAATTTTAGCTCATATTGGTCATCATTTCATTAAGGCGGTAGAAAGATCAGTGTGCAGACTCAGTGAGTTAAAGAAATGAGAATTCATAGGTCTATGAAAGTAATGGCCTCAGTGGAAGGGAGCTGTCCACTCACCTTAAGAGTGGCCATCAACTAAGCCGAAATTTCTGGACTTTTCCTGGTCCCTGACCCCCCCCCCCCCCATTTGTGGCTTTTTAAAACATTTAAGCGTCAGATCCTCATAATTAATTGAACTCTAATAATAATTTCCTGTCTCTAACAAACTAGGAGTATTTATCTATGTTCAGTATGTTTGCTCTGCCTCATTCTGACATTTGACTTTCAGAGATCAAGGCAGTCATCTATTTTCATGAAACCTATCTAGGAGCGAGAGTTCTGAGTCTTTTTTACCACTTGTTTTTAACTTGCCCC